AAAAAAAAAAAAAAAAAAAAAAAAAAAAAAAACAAAACACATGGCACACCTCACACTCTAAGGCAGGAAGGAAAACTCAGGAAGCTGCCAGTGGCCAAGTGAGCAGGCGGCTGTGGGGAGGGGCAGTGCGGCAGGACCCCACCCTGTAGGTAGCCCCTCTCCATCTGTAGCCCAGGTGCAGTCCCAAAGACACTGACCCCCCTCTCAGCCGGAGTCGCCTTTGCCACCTGTGACTTCTAACCCTTACAACAGTCAGAAAGGGATGCTTGACATGTACCAAGAACAAGCAAACGTAATGCAGACCCTGCTGGTCTTCCCTTCCGGAAGAGGCCCAGCGCCGTCCACTCTACCTGCACCCCACCTCTAGGCAGCCACCCCAGTCCAGCCTGTAAATGTCCTTCTGGCATCAGCAACACATCCTTGACAAGGCCCCTCCATAATCTCTACCCCAGCCACAAAGAAACACCACCACCTTCCTTTCCCTCACGGTCTCCAGGATTGCTCATCCCTGCTCCTGATTGCACTGTCTGCTCCTTGTCATTACTGTGTGACTGTCAGAATAGTCTATGAGATGATTGTATGTTTTACAGGCGGTGGACAATTGGGGCTGTTCTGAGTTTTTTTTTTAGTTAAAATTCCCAGCTTTATTGAAGTAAAATTGACAAACTGATGTGTGTGTGTGTATACATACATACATACATATATATATATATATATATATACACACACACACATATATATATATATTTAAGTTCCATGCAATGCAGTGATTATGTGTATGTTGAGAAGGGCTGCCACAGTAAAGCTGATGTGCTTACCGCAGGTGGGAGGTGATCTAATATCAAGCAAATGATACTGCATTTCTAAAGCAGCCAACACCATTGGACTAGAGCACTTATGTAACTATTGCCTAGAGACTAAAATGCCATTTCAGCCACCCCTTGTCATGCTCCAGTCCACTCTCCATGTCTTATAGCTGTGCTTCTACTCTCTGTTCTGTGAGTTTAGTGTTTTTAGATTCCACACATGAGATCGTGTGGCATTTGCCTTTCTGTAGCTGGCTTATTTCACTTACCGTGGTATCATCCAGGCTCAGCCATGTTGTTGCAAATGGGAGATTTCTTTCTTCTACAGCTGAGAAGTATTCCAGCATGTGTGTGCTTATGTATGTGTGTAGCTAGAGTGTTCCTGCCTGGCCCACAGTCAGGACAAATCTTTGTCACCCGCCAGTCCCACAGCCGCTCAGACCCAACCAAGTAAACACAGAGACTTATATTGCTTACAAACTGTATGGCTGTGGCAGGCTTCTTGCTAACTGTCCTTATAACTTAAATTAGTCCATTTCCATAAATCTATACCTTGCCACATGGCTCGTACAGGCATCTTCACATGCTTCTTGTCATGGCGGCAGCTGGCAGTGTCTCCTCCCACCTTCCTGTTCTCTCAATTCTCCTCTGTTAGTCCCACCTATACTTCCTGCCTGACCACTGGCCAATCAGTGTTTTATTTATTGACCAATCAGAGCATTTGACATACAGACTATCCCACAGCATATGTGCTTGTGTATATGTATATATGGATGCACACACACACACACACACACACACACACACACACACATACACATATTCATGGGTGTGCATTCACAGGGGTGTGTGAGCATATGTGGGGGAGTGCATATTCTGTGGACGTGTGTGGGTGTGCATGGTGGTAAAGCCACTTGCTGAGGAGCCTGATGACTTGAGTTCAGTTCCTGGGACCCATATCATAGAAGGAGAGAACCAACACCCACAAGTTGTTCACTGACCTCTATATAGGGAGCTAGAGAGATGGCCTAGTGGTTAAGAGCACTGGCTGCTCTTCCAGAAGACCTGGGTTCAATTCCCCAGCACCCACATGGCAGCTCACAACTATCTGTAACTCCAGTTCCAGGGGATCTGACACCCTCACACCAATGCACATAAAATAAAATATTTAAAAAATTAAAAAATACATTTAGGCAGTGGGACCAAGTCCTGTGCTCATTGCCTGAGTTGGCTGTTTGAAACCAGGAACTTATGCAGGGACACTTGGCTCAGTCTGGGAGGAAGGGACTGGACCTCCCTGGACTGAGTCTACCAAGTCGATCACAGTCCTCGGGGGAGGACTTGTCCTGGAGGAGATGGGAATGGAGGGTGGGCTGGGGGTAAGGGGAGGGCGTGGGAGGGGGGAGAATAGGGGAACCCATGGCTGATATGTAGAACTGAATGGTATTGTAAAATAAAAAATATATATCACAAAAAAAAAAATTACATACATAGCCAACAAAAAAAAAAAAATTAAAAAATAAGATGGAGGGCAATATAGGGAGAAACTCAATGTTCTTCTCTGGCCTCTGCAGGTATATACATATGTGCACATACACGCGCACACACACAAAAAAGAAAAACCAAGACCATTTTGAGAACACAAGTTAGAAGGACATGCTCTAACAGACATTAAAACTTACCATGATGGAGAAAGCCCTGGAGGCCTCCACACTACACAAAGAACTATAGTCAACTACGGAACGCTGAAAGCTGGAGAAATAGTCTTCCCTCAGGGAAGCACACCAGTTGATTATCCAATGCCAAATAGTCAGCCCTGAAAACATAAATACAAGTAACATTATAGGGGCTGAGCAGACTGTATTTTAGGTATTTAGAAATGTTTATGTGTATACACATATGTATGTAACAACAATTGATGAAAAAGAGAAGCCATTGATTTGAAAGAAAGCAAGGAAGGGTATAGAGGAGGGCTTGGAAGGAGGGGAAGGAAGGGAGAAATGATGTAATCATATTATAATCTCGAAAAATAAAAGAAATAACTTTTAAAAAAAATCTTCTCACGAGACCTCCATGCCCAGAAGTACCGGTGCAGTAACAGATAAATGGCATGGGGCCTGGACCTGGACCTCTCCATGACAGGGGCCCTGTGCTTGGAGCTTTTCATTTCTGATAGGCTGACCAGCCAGTGAGCTCTTGAGATCTGCCTCTAGGATTGCAGATACTCATGGCCATGCCCAGCTTTTATGTGTGTACTGGGGATTTTCTCCTTCAACTGTAATTTAAATTGATGAAAATTAGTTTAATCTTAAATTAGTTCCTAATATAAGTCACACTTCATCTTCCTAACAAAACCCCAACTTGATTACCATGAGTAATTTATCCCACTTACATTCTTCCAGACTCAGACAATCACATGTGTGATGCTCTCAGCAACTGTCCATCCGACACAGGTCACGTGAGCCTCATAAAGAGAGCTCTGTCTGCACTTCTTTACTGAGTGTCTGGGGACAACATGAAGGCCCAAGTAGATGCCTCACACATCATGGGTTTGCTCTCTTGGCTTAGGAGCTTGGCTCTTACAGTGAGCCTGGTCTTCGTCCCCAAGAGGACAATATTTCATCTCCCGAGGCCGAGCTCTGCAAACACAATTCAAAGAAATGGCCTTGCCGATAGCCGACAGGGACTGGCATTCTTGTTTCTTGTGGTGATATATTGTGTACCCTAATAAATTTGCCTGAAGATCAGAGAACAGAACGAGCCACTAGATTAAACATAGATGCCAAGCAGTGGTGGCACACACTTTTAATCCTAGCACTCAGGAGGCAGAAATCCATCTGGATCTCTGTGAGTTCAAGGCTATCCTGGACTACATGAGATTGACTCAGTCTAGGAGAGAAACAGAGCCAGGCAGTGGTGGCACACGCCTTTAATCCCAATACTTGGGAGTCACACGCCTTTAATCCCAGCATTAGGAAAGTTGAGACAGGAAATTATATGGGTGGGCAAAGAAACGTATATAAGTTGTGAGGAGACAGAAACTAAAGTCTTTCAGCTGAGGTAAGTTTTTTAGGCTGAGGAGTCCTAGAGGTAAGAGGTGGCTTGTTCCTTTATCTCTCTGATCTTTCAGCATTTACACCAATATCAGGCTCTGGGTTTTTTTTTTTTAATTAAAAAGACCATTTAGCAATTCGTGTTACAGTTTCTGGCAATTAATTAATGAAACTAGGCTCAGAGCCATAGTGAATGCTCCCCCCGTCAGGCTACCTCCTCAGCCCACATATTCTTGGCCAAACATTTTACCAGCGAACATTCTGAGATGCCCCACCATGGTCATGAAGTAGCCTGTTTCCATTTGCCATCTCATCTACTGATGGCCCGGTAGGAAGGTTCAGATGTGAAGCCCCTACATCTGCCTGAGCAGTGTGAACTGACGCCTACCTCTAGTGATCCGTTTGCCCTGTGGTCCATTTGATCTGATGATAATAGGACCATGCCAGCTTTCCCTTGGTCACGTCGGGACAGTTTATCTTCCCACCGGAAGCTTTAATCCACTTTAACTTACTAGGTCGCTGGCACAGATGTCTTCCTCTCTGCCTCTCACGTCCTTTGTTCCATCTGGCTGACAATCGATTGCATCCCTGTCTCCTTACTGTTTGTTCTATCTGTTCCCTCCTTATTATTTTTCACCACATTTTGAGTATTTTAACTATACCCCTTAACGTCTTCTCTCTCCTCATCAAGGATGTGCAGTGTCTGTGGTCTCAAAGATTCTCCAGATGGTACAATGTAACCTTTAACACATCAGAGGTCATTAACAGGCCCCACTTAACGTTACTCAGCCTTGGAACAGCTGTGGCCTGAGGGTGCCTTTCCCAGTCCGTATGCTATTATTGAGTTTTAATTTGTAGATTCTCCTCACTAGTCCTTTAGCTCTAGTGTTCCTTTTGGTCGTTGTCCACTTGGATTTATGCTCTAGCTTCTCCCTTCTTTTCTTCTTGAATCTCTGACCTTACATTCCCTGTCAACTTGAAGTTGGCCCACATTCTTTTTTTTTTTTTCTTCAAGACAGGGTTTCTCTGTGTAGTTTTGGTGCCTGTCCTGGAACTCACTCTGTAGCCCTGGCTGGCCTCGAACTCACAGACATCTGCCTGGCTCTGCCTCCCAAGTGCTGGGGCTAAAGGCGTGCGCCACTGCCGCCCAGCTGGCGCACCTTCTTTAGGTCTGGGTCTGTACTCAGGTGCAGCATGTTACTGCTTGTGTGAATTGCCTTCACTTAGCGTCAGTGCGGCATCTGAGTCTCGGGCTTTCTGCTGACACTGCTGTCTTCTGGTGTGCGGGAAGAGCTCCCCTTGTTCTCCAGCTTCCATGGTTTCCACGAGGTGTCCACTGTGGCGCCTGAGCCTCTCGTGATGGCTTCCTGCAGCTGGCTGCTACTTTCGCAGAGCTGGTTCAGTGTGGCTTGAGTTTTGTTTTTCCAGCTAGTTAGTCCCTGAGGTTACTGATGTACAGCTCCACGCCCTTCATCGGTCCTGCAAGGCTCTCCCACGGCCCATCCCTTTCCTTCTCTCTGCTGCTGGTGCTGATTCTCTCTCCCACCTTTATCTGATCCCTCCATCTTGTCCTCCCTGTTCCCAGTTCCAGGTGGTTTCTCCATCTTGTCCCCTGTTCCCCATTCCAGGCGGTTTCTCCATCTTGTCTCCCTGTTCCCCATCCCAGGTAGTTTCTTAACTGGCCTTCCTATTGGTTTCCATCCACTGCTTTTCTGTAATTGCATCAAATCCATTCTGAAATCTTATTACTTTGTTATATGTATTTGATTCCTTGTTCTATTTTGCTTTTGGAAATACCATCAAGATTTTTTTCTTTATCACGACCACTTTCTCCCAGTTTTTTATGGTAATAGAGTACACATCTTCAATCTTAGGTATAAACAGTTGGGTGGTGTTGAAGTGCTTTTAATTGCTGTGTTGACCATTACCATCTGTCATGCTCTTCCGTGTCTTGGGTCCCATGACCCTGACTAGGGAGAAGGTACTGAAGCAAGGACAGATACACAGACACACGTCCAGTGAGCTGGGGTCATGTGGCTTGGGTTATCTGATGGAGAAGCTGCAGCGCTCTGGAAGCTCAGCATGTCTGTTATATACAGTTGACAGGGGAGCTGAGGTTAGTGTATACAGCCGGACAGAGGCAGGCTTAGTTAATCTTAGTTAAGGAGGTAGGAGCAGTCTCTGTAGGGGAGCTGTCTTCAGGCTGTAAATATCTAGGGGGAGAAAACTATGATGGACCTTTTCTGCACACATCGTCAACACTGGTGCTCAGACCCAAGGAAGGCTTTGCTACTCCCATGGGTCCGAGGCCTCAGGGTCCTAGACATGGCTGTGCCCATTCAGCAACACACATTCACTCAGGACACCATTGTAGCTAGAGTTTTCCGCCTTGCCCACAGTCAGGACAAATCTTTGTCACCCGCCAGTCCCACAGCCGCTCAGACCCAACCAAGTAAACACAGAGACTTATATTGCTTACAAACTGTATGGCCGTGGCAGGCTTCTTGCTAACTGTTCTTATAGCTTAAATTAATCCATTTCCATAAATCTATACCTTGCCACGTGGCTGGTGGCTTACCGGCATCTTCACATGCTGCTGGTCATGGCGGCGGCTGCAGTGTCTCTCCACCTCAGCCTTCCGCTTCCCAGAATTCTCCTCTCTCCTTGTCCCACCTACTTCCTGCCTGGCCACTGGCCAACAGTGTTTTATTTATTGACCAATCAGAGCAATTTGACATACAGACCGTCCCACAGCACACCATTAATTCCTCCTATAGCCACCATCCATCCAAACAACACTTTGTATCTTCCAAAACTGAGACGCTATACTGATGAAGTCACAGCTCCCCACTGCCCCCTTCTTCAGCCCTGAAAACTACCGATCTCCCTTCCACCTCTGTGAGTTTAGCGATCTGGGAGCTTTGTAGAAATGGAGTCGTGCAGTATTTGTCTTTTTATTTCACGCATCAGGATGCCATTAAGTTTCATCTACATTATCACATGTCAAATGTTTTTCCTGTTAATAACGCCCCATTCTTTGTATGTGCTGTGTCGTCTTGTTGATACATTTGTTCATCAGGAGACACTTGGGTTGCTCCAGTGTTTAGATATAATCGATGCCATACCATGCCAGTCCAGATCACCTCAGAATGAGGCCCGTGTATGATCGTGTACCGTTGCCTAACACCCTAGGAGGTCAGAGTTAGAGACAGTCCACCTGACTGCTGTAACAAAATGCCTCACACTGTGCTACTTGGAAGCAACGGGAACTAATGAGCAGTCCTGGAGGCTGAGAAGTCCAAGACACTAGAATCCGTAACTGGTGAAGCCCACCCTCTTGCTCATAGATGGGAGTCCTGCTGTGTTCTCACATGGCAGGAGGCACTCGGGGTTTCTTTCATAAGGGCACTGACTCCATTCATGAGATCTCTACCCTCATGGCTACACCCTCAACTTAAACATTTTAACACATGGCAGGTAGTGTTAGCCAAGTCTCAGAGGTGAGAAAACCAGAACGCAGAGAGGCAGGTTAAACGGTCTCAGATGGCATCACTAGTGAGTTGCCGAGTCGGGGCCAGAGCCTCCCTGACCACCTGGAAGCCCAAACATACTCTCCGACTTGGCCGCCACAGCCTTTCCAAGCCATGCTGGCCCCTGGGCCTCCTGTTTACTGTGACACATTTGGCTCAGTTCAAGAATGCTGACCCACCTCTCCAGGCCCCTGGCTAGAGTATGCCTGGGTAGCAACCCAAGTCAGTGGTATATCTATCAATAGGTCAGAGACTGGCCCCGAGTACACCATCTGCATCAGAGGATAGAACAGGACCACACGGCCCCATTTCAGGGGACAGAGGCTGTCAGCCAACCTGGGATGCCTGCCTGAGCTGGATCGCTCTTAAAGGATGCTGGGGGTGGGGCAATGGAGATGCCCACTGGGCTGACCAGCTTCTAAGGTACCCAGTCTGTACCCATCCTGGCTTTCTGCCCCCCACAGGTGAACAACAACGGGATCATCTCCTTCCTGAAGGAGGTCTCTCAGTTCACCCCCGTGGCCTTCCCCATCGCCAAAGACCGCTGTGTGGTGGCAGCCTTCTGGGCGGATGTGGACAACCGGCGTGCAGGTGACGTCTACTACCGAGAGGCCACTGACCCAGCCACGCTGCAGAGAGCCACAGAGGACATCAGACGGTACTTTCCCGAGCTCCCGGACTTCTCTGCTACCTGGGTTTTTGTGGCCACCTGGTACCGCGTGACCTTCTTTGGAGGCAGCTCCTCTTCCCCCGTGAGTCCAGGTGGCTGTGTGGCCTGGGAGGGTGGCTGTGTGGTTGGGACCCTGCCAAGGTAGGCCAGCTATAGGTGGTCTACACCCAAAAAAAAAAAGAACTCTGGGCTTAAGATTATGTCACTTCTTAAATCACAGGGCCAGGGTGGAGGAGGCCAGAGCCTCACCCTTCCAGGCCCAGCACAGCACTTCTCATGTGGGAGCTGCACAGGATCCATGGTGCTAGGAGAAATTCTGTGGGGATGGCTTGGTTCTCTAACAGTTCCGGGGTGGGGCAGCGTGGCGGAGGGTCTGCTCTAGGTGGGATTTTTTTTTGTTTATTTGGTTCTTGTAGGTTTGTTTTGCTAGAAGGAGAGAGACAGAGACAGAGACAGAGAGACAGAGAGAGAAAGAGGGAGGTGTACACACCTGTGTCTTCAAGTATGCATGCCTATATAGAGAGAGGCCAGAGGGAGACATTGGATGTCCTGTTCTGTGTCACTTTCTTCCTTATACCATCTAGACAGGAGCGAACAGCAAACTTTGAGCTAGGCTAGCAGCCAACAAAACTCAAGCAATCCTCCTGTCTCCACCACCCCAGCTCTGGAATTACAGGCTTATGTGCAGCCACGTCCCAATGTGTGCTAGGGCTGGGTGTGCATCTCTACACTTGTGCAGCAAGCACGCGTGCAGCTGAACCACCCGCGCAACCCTTGGTGGTGTTTTCTGGAGTAAGGCACCATGAAACCCAGGCTGGCTTCCAACTCACTAGGTAGCTGTGGATGACCCTCAATTCCCGCTCCTCTCCCTCTCCGCCTCCAGAGTGCTGGGTCTACAGATCGTGCCACCATACCTGGCTGCTCTGTTCCACTCCCTGATAGTGGTAATCAACTAGATGGGGTGGCTGAGCCCTTTGTGAGTCTTTGGTGAGTGTGGTTGGCCGATGCTGCCCACCCAGACAGGTACTTTCCAGCACTTACTATACATAGGCCTGTTCTGGATACTAAGCCACATAGAAAGAGGCCCTGAGATGCAAGTGGCCTGTCAAAGTTGTTTATTCATACAATAAGGGCTTTTGTGAGGGCACCTTCTGGGTGTCAGGCAGTGTCCCAAGTACTGGGTGACAACCCTGGAGAGAACCAACAAGACAAGCCCACACTGTGGGGCTTCCACAGGTCCCTAACAAAGGCAGCAGGCATCGGGGTATGCTCAGAAGTACAGTCTATTCAGGCGGCACCTGTTGGGGAGGTTCTGTGTATCATGTTGCCACCCCCTCAAAGCATCATCATTTGTCTGTTGACTGTCTCTCCTGCCAAGTTTTATATACGAATGATTCCCATTCAGCTTTTCATTGCTGACAATGATTGAAACAAGCTTGGACCATGAGAGGGGCCCACGTACTACCAGTGCCTGATGCATGGCCAATCGAGATCCTGCTGTGACACACATCCCCAGAGCAGTCTGCCCTCTCAGAGTGTCCTACAGGTGTCCATTTGGAGGTGCCTGTTCCCTGCACCCCCACATAAGTCTCTGTCCTCCTCCATCTTTGCTAACACTGCAGGCAAAACAAGGAATGCTTTTTGTTTTGTTTTTGTTTTTGTTTTTGTTTTTGTGTTTGTTTGTTTGTTTGTTTTGGTGCCTTCCTGGAGCTCGCTCTGCAGATCAGGCTGGCCTTGAACTCACAGAAATCCTCCTGGCTCTGCCTCCTGAGTGCTGGGATTAAAAGTGTGCGCCGCCGCCGCCACCGCCGCCACCACCACCACCACCACCTGGCCAAGGAATGCTTTTTTAAAACTTAGATAACTCTGGCTTCTACAGATGTTGAATTTTTTCTCAAGTGTTATTGATATGGCATTATGTGCTAATGTACTTATTCATGCCTTCTGCCAATTTTTCTTAATACTTATGGTCCTTTTTTTCTTGTTCTAAGTTCTTCTGGACATGAAGGATATCAGCAGTCTTATCACCATATGTTATAAATGCATTTTTTGCTACTGTCTGCCAATCATTTTGATATCACAACACTTTTCCCACTCAGAGGCTTTCGTCTATAAGTATATTGATCTCTCTTTTGGTCTTTGCTATTACTAAACACCACAGAAATCCTTCTCTGAGATGCAATGCATACTGCCCAATGTCTTCTTCTAGGACGTCCATGATGTTTGAAACCATTCTTGATTTGGGATTTGTTCTCGTGTGTGGGGTGAAGCAGGGCAGGATGCTAGCTGTGTCCTTTTTCAGTCTCCCATGCGTCCCAAGATTATTTTTTCACCCCAATCTGAAATGCTTTTTTTGAGGTTCACGGCTCGGGGATGGTCGTGGAGTTAAAGTCTATGAAAACCATAAAACCTAAGATGAGAAGCTGCTTTTCCTCTTTGTTTTTGTTCTTACCACACAGATTTTGTGGGTTTGGTTGAGGAGCCTGAGCCCCTTGAGGCTGGGGCCAGCGTCTGCTCCAGGTGTTCTGGCCTTGTCCCTTAACAGCGGGGTAGGCTGTAGAGACAGACAAAGCCACCGTGGTCCTACCTTGCTTGGCTGTCCATTGGAAGGAGACAGGGCCTTTGACATGGGACAGGGGGTGCAGCCAGTCACAGCTAACCCCGTCTCCTGGCAGGTCAACACCTTCCAAACAGTGCTCATCACCGACGGCCGGTTCTCCTTCACCATCTTCAACTATGAGTCCATCCTGTGGACCACGGGTACACACGCCAGCAGTGGAGGTGACGCTGACGGCCTGGGAGGCATCGCAGCCCAGGTAGGCCAGGACAGAATCGGGGCCCAGTGTTCAGGGCCCTGCCCCTCCGGCCAAGGTGCTGTGGGGAGGAGGGGTAGGCAGATCTTCACTGTGGCAGCTGTCTGCTCCCTTCCAGGCCTATGCAGAGATCAGTCTGTGGCAGCCACAGTGACTCTGTGTCCCTCAGGCCTCTAGGTGCCCAGAACCACAAAATAGCCTCTGGTACCTTTGTCCTTTCCTCCCTGATAAGGATCTCTGTCCCCAATGTGTCAGGAAGGCTGTGCCTGTCCCCAAACCATGCTCTTCCACTCACATCCGGACCCCAACTTTCTCCTGGGGCGGCACTTCTCTTGGGCCTTAGGTGAGGCCTAGAGGCTGAGTGGGTGGGTGCTGGAAGCTAGGGAGGAGTCCGGCACCCCGCTTGACTGGAGGGACTGCTGAAGTCAACACCGGCCCCCCCCCCCCCCCCCCCCCCCCGACATCTACAGTGTCCTCTGCTTATGTGGCCATCTCTCCACCATCCTTGACTTGGCCATCCTGAGAGAGAACTCAGTGACTGTAAGGAGACCCGCCTCCTTCTCTTCCCCCCCACCCCACCCCCCCTGCTCCCAGGCAGGTTTCAACGCAGGTGATGGGCAC